GGCTCATAAGACCAACGCTCTAACCAACTGAGCTACGGGACTTTGATGTTATATTAATGCAGAACACGTTATTTAAAGTAAACAAATAGCCAATAAATTTCTACAACTCTTTTGTAATGATTATTAGTTAACTTGGATTGAATTGTACACACAATTATAAACAATTAATTGTTTATAATATCAAGTCATTATTTGGTTGTATCCCACCCACCTCCTTTAAAAAATGACATGTTTTCTAACCTTAATGCAGATTTATGAGTGTTGGGTGTGTGCGAGTATTTCCTAGACCTATTAATATTTGCATTTTTCGTTCCAATTTAATAAATTCCAAAAAAATACAAAGGCCCCTTTAGATTTTTTTTGTCCATAATATTTTTTTTGTTAAATTACGGCCAACCTTGAGGTAATATCAAATTATGAAAAAAAACCCTTATGTTTGGATAATTAAAACCATTTCTATTCTGATGGTGTCAAATTTTCTTACACGTCCATCTTTATGGTGTCAAATTACGAAAAAAAACCGCTCAACTATGAATTTTCTTACACGTCCCTCCTTATGGTGACAAATTCAACATATTCTTCTAGATTACGTTCTCTAGTTTGAATTCGTTTTATGCAAAAATTCAGTTTCTGATGCACCACAATTTGATATTTACAAGCCAACATACACTTCTTATGATCATTTTGTTTCAAAATGTGAAGCTCGAATGAGGTAAAACGGGTACAAATTAGAGAATAGTCCACATAATTTACAAGATTCCACTAAATTTAACACCACAAAGGTGGACGTGTAAGAAAATTCACAATCGAAGGACGGTTATAATTACCCAAATAAGATGGTCTTTTTTCGTAATTAAACCCTATCTCAGGGGTGACCGTAATTTACCCTATTCTTTTTACGGTCCACTATAAATTAATTACCCTACATTTATATGCTTCCAAATATCTTGTGAATAAATGCGTATGTGGAATATGTGTGTGTGTTTTTCCCGCATATCCAACAAAATCTTTACAATTCAATCTCAAAAAAGAAAAAAAAAAAAACAAGAAAACTGGTGGCGTGTCACGGTGGCTCCACCGTCCTTGTGGTGGAGATGTGGTGGTTGCCCTCTCTAAAACACAAAAAAAAAAAAAAAAAAAAAACAAAGTTTGGTTTTTGCTAAGGCCAAAGTGGACCCAATCTTGAAAGCCAAATCCATTGGCATACTGAAATGCTAATTGTAGCGGGACTTTTACTGAAATTGGCTTATTTGCAGCGGTACCTTTTTCATTTCAACTTTTCAAACTTTTTAGAAAACTGAAAACGCTCTCAACTAAAAAAAGTCGAGAATTAAGATTTTCGTGTTATTTGATGAATCGACTGCCCGACGACAACATATAACACTATGGCCGATTCCAACGAGTTTTACGAGG